CTTTGGATCACAGTGCACTCTGAGTGACAGGATTGAAATGAATTTGGTTTTCTGTTTGATCATGGAAACTTCCCAGAAAGCCGGTCAATTTACTTTAGGGTTGGCTCAGGCAGTGCTGAGGTGGGTGGCTGAATTTGGTTTTTGTGGCCAAAGTCAATGTTTTCCAAAGAAAGGCGAGAAATATTTAAGAGAAAATGCTTTTCAAAAATACTAATGTAAAGCTTTCACTCTTTTACAAGAGTCTTGAGTTTCTTATTTTTATTATGAAAACGTTCAGTATACTCGGAAGTAGAGACGGAGAAGCACACGTAGCCAAGCTTGGACAGTTGTCGGTTCACGGTCAGATATTTTTTTTCTTTTATTACTTCCCAGCATGTATTTTTTCTGATGGGCAAGGCTTTTACTTTGTTTTTCCAGTAAGCCCATGTAATTTTTAAGTACATACTGAAGTGTATAGCACTGCTATATTGGGACTTTAAAAAAAACATAACTAAAATGCCAGCATCACACTTAACGTTAGCAGTAATTCCTTTATGTCGTTTAATACGCAGTTGCGGTAGATGGGCTCCCCAAAGTGGCTGCCACCTGTTGCTGTCCTCCCCGCAGGGGCCTTCTGTAGAGCCTGATTCCTTCCCTCTTCAACTGATACTGAACCGTAATTCATTTTGAGCAGCAGAGTATGTTAAAAGAGACACCGCCAATTCCAGGGTGAACTGTTAAGACACAGTGATGAAATCCTTTTTCAATATGCATTAGTTCTTGTATAGAAAAAATTGAACTTAAGTTGTTACAATGAATATGCTAAGTATGGTACAGAAAGAAATGTCCATTTTTTTGAGGACATCACTTAAATTACTTGGTAAAACAGAAGCATGATATCATGAAGAGGATAATTTATTTCTATATGTGCCAATTTTCATAGAAGAAAGCCCAAAGGTCAGTGAGTGAGAGCAAGTATTCTGGAGTTTCAAGATCAGCATTATCTGTCATTTTAAAAAAATAAGTGCATTCACTTTTATCTTTTTTTTTTTTAAAGATTTATTTATTTTATTGGAAAGTCAGATATACAGAGAGGAGGAGGAAGACATAGAGGAAGATCTTCCGTCCAATGCTTCACTCCCCAAGTGAGCGCAACTGCCAATGCTATGCTGATCTAAAGCCAGGAGCCAGGAACTTCTTCCGGGTATCCCACAGGGGTGCCTGGTCCCAAGGCTTTGGGCCGTCCTCAACTGCTTTCCCAGGCCACAAGCAGGGAGCTGAATGGGAAGTGGAGCTTCCGGGATTAGAACCGGCGCCGATATGGGATCCTGGGGCGTTCAAGGCGAGGACTTTAGCCACTAGGCCACTGCTCTGGGCCCTAAATTTTGTATTTAAATAAAAACTCCATAAATTAATTTTTCCTTAAATAATGACATATATACTTTATTTTTTTAAGATTTATCTTATTTTTATTGGAAAGGTGGATATACAGAGAGGAGAGACAGAGAGGAAGATCTTCTGTCCAATGATTCACTCCCCAGGCAGCCGCAACGGCTGGAGCTGAGCCAATCCAAAGCCAGGAGCCTCTTCTGGGTCTCCCATGCAGGTGCAGGGTCCCAAAGGCTTGGGCCATCCTGGACTGCTTTCCTGGGCCACAGGCAGGGAGCTGGCTGGGAAGCGGGGCCACCAGCATCAGAACCGGCGCCCATATGGGATCCCGGGCGTGCAAGGCGAGGACCTTAACTACTGCGCCATCGTGCCGGGCCCATATATACTTTATTATGCAGCATGTTTTTTGCTGCTTAAATGTGTCTTATGAGTGTTTACAATCTGTACACATAGATTTTTTTAAAAGATATTTATTACTTTTAAAGAACAAGCAAGAGAGGCAGAGAGAGAGAGAGATCTTCTGAATGGTCACAATGGCCAGAGTTGAACCAATCTAAAGCCCAGAGCCAGGAGCTTCTTTTTGTTTCCTGTGTGGATGGAGAGTCCTAGGGACTTGGACCATCCCCCACTGCCTTCCCAGATTATAAGCAGGGAGCTGGAGTAGAAGTGGAGGACCTGGGCCACAAACCAATACCCATTTGGGAAGCCAGCACTTGAGGCAGAAGTTTAGCTCATTACACCACTGTGCCAGCTCCAGATTTCACTCTTTTTTATAGCTGAGCAGTGTTCCATAGTGTATGTACTGTATTTTCTTTATTTTCTTTATCCAGTCATCAGTTGATGGGCATGTGGGTTGTTTCCATGTCTTAGCTATTGTGGATTGAGCTACTGTAAATATGGGGTACAGATAACTGCGACTTGCAAATTTCATTTCATTTAATATATTCTCAGGAGTGAGTCATCTGGTGGCGCCATTTCCAGATATCTACGGCATCTCCATACTGTCTTCCATTATGGTTACACTGGTTCACGTCCCCAGCGGTGGTGGGCTGGGCATCTTTTCCACACATCCTCACCAGCATTGTTTTCTGATTTTTGTGTGACAGCCGTTCTCACTGGGGTGAGATGGAACCTCACATTGTGATTTTTCTTTTCTTTTTTTTTTTTTTTAAAGATTTTATTTTTATTATTATTTTTTTTATTGGAAAGGCGGATATACAGAGAGGAGAGACAGAGAGGAAGATCTTCCATCCGATGATTCACTCCCCAAGTGAGCGCAACGGGCCGACACTATGCCAATCCGAAGCCAGGAGCCTCTTCCGGGTCTCCCACACGGGTACAGGTTCCCAAAGCTTTTGGGCCGTCCTCGACTGCTTTCCCAGGCCACAGGCAGGGAGCTGGAAGGGAAGTGGGGCTGCCGGGATTAGAACTGGCGCCCATATGGGATCCCGGGCATGCAAGGCGAGGACCTTTAACCACTTGCGCCACCGCGCCGGGCCCGTGATTTTTCTTTATAGGATTGTTAGGTCTTATGGCAACTCAGTATTCACCACTTTAAGTGGTTTTCAAATTCTTTTTTCATTTTTATTTTTTAAAAAAACTTATATTTATTGGAAAGGCATTTACAGAGAGGGGAGACAAAAAGAAAGCTCTTTCATCTATTGGTTCACTCCCCAAACAACTTCAATGGACAGAGTTAAAGTCAGGAGCTTCCTCTGGACCTTCCACGTAGGTGCAGGGTCCCAAGGCTTTGGGCCATCCTCTGCTGCCCTCCCAGGCCACAAGCAGAGAGTTGGATGGGAAGTGGAACAGCCAGGACACGAACTGGCACCCAAATGGGATGCCAGTGTTTGTAGGCAGAGGATTAGTGAGCAGAGCCATCATGTCAGCCCCTCAAACTATTTTTAAAAACTGTTTTATGTTCCCCTCAGCGATGTGTGGAGGCTCCAACTACTCTGCATCTTCACCTACTCTTGTTATTATGTCATTTAAATTCTAGCATCCTGATGGATGTGAAGTGTTATCTCGTTGTGATTTTTATCTAACTAATAATGTTAAGCAGATTTCTAAAAAAAAATAGTTATCCTGCTTATTTGAGAATCAGGGAGACAAAAAACTCCCATCTACGGCTTCGCTCCCCAGATGCCTACCACAGCCAGCGGTACTGTGGACCAGGCCAAAGCGGGGGGCCCGGAACTCGATCCGGGACTCGCTGGTAGTCGCAGGGACCCGAGGATTTGAGCTACTGCCTCTGTTTCCCAGGCTACACACTGGCAGGAATCCAGAATCAGAAACACAACCGTGACTCAAATCTAGGTATTCAGGTATGGGGAGTCCCAAGTGATAACCTGACAGCTACACTAAAGACTGGCCACATTGAATATTTGGTAATGTGTGTATTAACCATTGGTGTGTCATTTTCGGAGGACTGATTGTTAAAATCCTTTGCCTATTTTTAAATTGGGTCATTTGCCCAAGCAGTATCTTACCCACTAGGCCAAATGCATGCCCCATAGTAATTATTTTTATCATCATCATGTTCACATCTGGATTTGGTTTATAGACAAACAAAATAACATTGTTATATTTACTTGCTAAGAATTTAGATATATTTTAGTTTTCTCCATTTTTAGATCAAATCCAAACACTGATTATAATTTGGTTTCAGTATTAAAATTACTGTTACTTTAGTTATTATAGCACAGTTTGGTTGAAAAAGATAATGTTGATTATGGTAACACATTGATATCATGGATCACAGAATCACTTTTCTCATGATATCATTACAAGTATATATATAAGTAAATCAGTCACTCAACCTTTGAAACAAGTTTTAAACAAAAGATTTATTTTTTTTAAAGCAATAGAGACATTAGAAGAAAATTTTAAAGGAAAAAAGCAGAGCAAAACAAGATCATGTGTGGCATGCGCACCTGAAGCAGGGCAGTGCCCCCAGGGAGAAGCGTTAGGCCTGCAGGGCCACACACTGCTCTGTGGATCCCATCATGCTGCAGCCTCTGGCCTCGCCTGGGTAACTGTCCAGGCCGTGGCCAGTAACTGCGCCGTGATTGCTTTCTGGACCCCTAAAGCAGTATGGCCAGGCAGCAAGCAGAGAAAGGCCACGGAGGGAGTCTGGCTCTTCCAGCAGCCAGCATTCCCACCCACCCCTGCGAGTCACAGACTGCTGCTGACTCGAGCTAAGCCTGGCATGGGCAAGACAGAGGCATCATCTTGTTCTCATGTGTGGGAAGGCTAAGAAAAGAAAAACCCTTCTTGGCCCAAACATTTAAACAAGAATTACACTGGGATCATTTGTTCTCATCCTGGCAGAGTCAGAATTAATTTGGCAGTCTAAAAGAGCGTGTTTTCATTTTTTGTTTTTAATCTGAGTTACTTAATGCAGGGATAAATGGGGGGAAAAAAAGAAAGAAAATATGGTTTAAGTCTTACCCAGTGGTATTGGAACACCACCCCAGGTCATTTTTCAGGGTACTGCCCAACTTTGTGATGAGTGTCTTGTTAGATGAGCCATGTGCTGGAAGACGAGCAGTGAAGTGTGACTAGGTGTCTGGGAAATAACAACTGTACCGAACTTAAGAGGGCTCAATCATTTTTCCCCTCTTCATCCTTAGGTTTGATAAAGTAAACCCGTCTTCTGCAAATACCTGAAAAGGCTGCCCTCTGGGTCTCCATGAAGTGGCTGGAACTTGTACTGTGAGGCCCTTGATGGGACGAGCTCTTGCCTGCTGATCCTCCAGGGTGACTGTCACCATGGCCAGCAAGAGGAAATCCACCACCCCATGCATGATCCCAGTGAAGACCGTGGTGCTGCAGGATGCTGGCGTGGAGCCCCAACCCGTGGAGCCCGGGCCTGACGGACCCCAGCAGGACCTGCCTCCAGAAGCACCTGCCCCCAGCAGTGAGGCAGCCCAGAGCTCCAGCGGCCCCGACAGCTCTGCACTGGCCAATGGGCATCGCAGCACTTTGGATGGCTATTTATATTCCTGTAAATACTGTGACTTCAGATCCCAGGATATGGCCCAATTTGTGGGACACATGAACTCAGAGCACACAGACTTCAACAAAGACCCAACTTTTGTATGCACCAAGTGCAGTTTTTTGGCAAAAACCCCCGAGGGGCTTTCCCTGCACAATGCCAAGTGTCACTTGGGGGAAGCCAGCTTTGTGTGGAATGTGGCCAAGCCAGACAATCATGTAGTCGTGGAGCAGAGCATCCCCGAGAGCACAGGTACTTCTGACCTAGTAGGTGAGCCCAGTGTTGAAGGGACTGATGGACAGGCAGAAATCATTATTACCAAAACCCCAATCATGAAGATAATGAAAGGTAAAGTTGAAGCCAAAAAAATTCATACACTCAAGGAGAACACCCCCGGCCAACCTGTGGCTGAGGCCTTGCCCAGGCCATTGGCTGGAGAACCAGAGGTGAAAGAGGGGGACCACTCCTTTGTCAATGGAGCAACTCCAGTCAGCCAGCCATCTGCCAGCTCCACTAAGCCCCCCCATGCCACTAATGGGCCCCTGATTGGAACAGTGCCAGTTTTGCCAGCTGGGATAGCCCAGTTCCTCTCCCTCCAGCAGCAGCCCCCACTGCATGCTCAGCACCACACCCACCAGCCCTTGCCCACGTCCAAGGCCCTTCCCAAAGTGATGATTCCCCTGAGCAGCATTCCAACGTACAACGCGGCCATGGACTCCAACAGCTTCCTGAAGAACTCCTTCCACAAGTTCCCCTACCCAACCAAAGCTGAGCTCTGCTATCTGACTGTGGTGACCAAGTACCCGGAAGAACAGCTCAAGATCTGGTTCACAGCCCAGAGGCTGAAACAAGGCATCAGCTGGTCTCCCGAGGAGATCGAGGATGCCCGGAAAAAGATGTTCAACACAGTGATCCAGTCTGTACCCCAGCCCACAATCACGGTCCTCAACACCCCTCTGGTCGCCAGTGCTGGTAACGTCCAGCATCTCGTCCAGGCCGCTCTCCCAGGCCATGTGGTGGGGCAGCCAGAGGGCACGGCGGGGGGACTTCTGGTCACTCAGCCACTGATGGCCAATGGACTGCAAGCACCAAGCTCATCTCTCCCCTTGGCTGCAACATCTGTCCCTAAGCAGCCAGCGGTGGCACCCATTAACACCGTGTGCTCCAGTGCAGCCTCGGCCGTGAAGGTGGTCAATGCAGCCCAGACGCTCCTCACGGCATGCCCCAGCATAACTTCCCAAGCCCTCCTGGATGCTAGCATCTACAAAAATAAGAAATCTCATGAGCAGCTGTCAGCCCTGAAAGGGAGCTTTTGTCGGAACCAGTTCCCTGGGCAGAGTGAAGTTGAGCATCTGACCAAGGTGACCGGCCTGAGTACCAGGGAAGTACGGAAGTGGTTCAGTGACCGGAGGTATCACTGCCGCAACCTGAAGGGCTCCAGGGCCACGATGCCCGGGGAGCCAGGGTCTGTCCTCCTGGACTCGGTGCCCGACGTGCCCTTCCCCCCATCGGCCAAGGTCCCAGAGGTAACCTGTGTCCCCTCGGCAGCCACACTGGCAGGCCACCCTGCCACCAAGCGACAGTCCTGGCACCAGACTCCTGACTTCACACCTACCAAATACAAGGAGCGAGCCCCTGAGCAGCTCAGAGCCCTGGAGAGCAGTTTTGCACAGAACCCTCTTCCTCTGGATGAAGAACTGGACCGCCTGAGAAGTGAAACTAAAATGACCCGAAGGGAAATTGACAGCTGGTTTTCCGAGAGGCGGAGAAAGGTGAACGCCGAGGAGCCCAGGAAGACTGATGAGAGTGCTTGCCAGGAGGAAGTGGAGGCTGCCGAGGATGAGGGGGGAGAAGAATTGGCCAGTGAGCTGAGGGTGCTTGGTGAAGACGGCTCCCCAGAAGTGCCCAGCGGCCACTCCTCAGCAGAGCGCAAAGTCAGTCCCATCAAAATCAACCTCAAGAACTTGCGGGTCACAGAAGCCAACAGCAGGAGTGCGCTTCCGGGCCTGGGTGCCTGTGAGCCCGAGGAAGACGGAGCCAGCAAGCTGGTGGAGCAGCCCCTCGGCAGGGTGAGCTACAAAAAGACGGCCCAGCAGAGGCACTTGCTGCGGCAACTCTTTGTGCAAACACAGTGGCCGAGCAACCAGGACTACGACTCCATCATGGCCCAGACGGGTCTGCCTCGGCCAGAGGTGGTGCGCTGGTTTGGGGACAGCAGGTACGCCCTGAAGAATGGCCAACTCAAGTGGTACGAAGACTACAAGCGCGGCAACTTCCCCCCAGGGCTGCTGGTCATCGCTCCTGGCAACCGGGATTTGCTGCAAGACTACTACGTGACACACAAGATGCTGCGTGAGGAGGACCTGCAGGACCTCTGTGACAAGACCCAGATGAGCTCCCAACAAGTGAAGCAGTGGTTTGCTGAGAAGATGGGTGAGGAGACCCGGGCTGTGGTGGATACAGGCACCGAGGACCAGGGCCCTGGCACGGGTGAGCCTGCAGCCATTCACAAAGGGATTGGTGACACCTGCTCAGAAGCAACAGAGAGCAGTGAGCTGTGGGAGCCGCGCGTCCCTGAGGCCAGCTCGGAGCCCTTTGACGCCTCGAGTCCCCGACCTGGGCCTCAGCTAGGTAAGGAGTCCATGGGAGCGCTGGGTGAGAGGAGGGCATCTTCCCGGGTGGGCACTGTGTTGATTGCAGAAAGTGCCTCTGCCACCTTGAAGGATGCTGCACAGGAGAGCTACTTGGCTGTTTTGGGACCTCTGGCAGCAGGCGCCCCGGTAGCACTGTTTGGTAAAGCGGTGGTAAGAGCGGTGGTGTTTCGGCTCATGTTTTTTGTAAAATCTGTGGAGGGGAAAGATCATGATGTACCTGAAGTGATGAGAGTTTTCCCAGCTACGTGTTAATCACTGGGAGAATGACTTCAGGTTATCTCCGGTGGCTCTGCAGACCCTGGGTGTGAGAGGAGGAATTGTCACAGGCTGGTGAAGGAGAGGAAAGAGACCACTTGATTATCATGCAAAACGGGAGATCTCTCTGTTCTGGGATAGAAATCCCCGCGTGTGTTCCTGGTGTTCTTGCTGATGTCAAGCGTTCACGCTAGAGGAACCTCACCCTCGCATGTGGGTCTCATAGACCACATGCTGATTCATGCTTCTCAGTCCCTCCAGATTGAGTATTTTAGTACTTAAAAGTAAATGTTTGAGGATCTCTCCTGACACAATTTTAAAGCCACAGAAAAGTCACATTGTTGTATTGTTCTGGGTCCTTGGTGTCTCAGGTCCCAGCATCTTCCTTTGCTCACCACCCTGAGAGGTTCCATCTTGGGAAAGCTGAAAGCCGCAGTAAAAAGCTGAAGGGATGGGGGCTCCAGAATGGTGGCTCTGGCAGCGGAACCGGCTTTGGGACTGGACGGCCTCTGGGGATTTGTTCATGATCCACTTCAGTGAGGAACCACATATTTTACCCCCGACACAGGGCCAGGCCGCATGTTCTGCCCCTTGGAGACCTGCAGTGTCTCCCGAGGGACATGGTTTTCATACAGTAGTGAGCAGTACTGCTGGCTGGTTTGGGCCTAGCAAATCCCAGCTCCTCTGCCCAGCTGCTTTCTACTTAAGACAGCTAAAAAGGACAAAATGTTATTTTCTGATTTAAATTCATTGGACACCATCATTTTGAGACATGGTTATGCCATTGTTTCTTCACAACTATGGAAAGGGAGACTTCCAGATTCACCCATATTCTTCAGTGGGGGTTGCCATGTTTTCCATCTGTTTAGCATTTGCAGAAACCCTGTTCTTTTTGTGCTTGTGTACTAAGACGAAACTCAGATCTACGAGGAGCAAACACTGGATAGAACCCACAGTCACTGGTCGGCAGCTAGGGGGAGCACACAGGACCCTTGGCCTCTCACTGGCTTCTCCAACTATTTTCGCTGAGGCTGGTGGAGAGGGAAGACACCCCCTCACATCTCACAGCTCACTGACTGCTTCTCAAGTGGCTGGTGGCCCATCCCGCGGGCGGTGGGTGGGGTGATACTGGGTCAGTGTGGAGCGTGTCCTCCCTCCCTCGGTCCTGGGAGGCTTTGTCCAGGTCGCTGCAACTGTCCTAGTCTTGCACACATCTCGCTCTTCTTGTAATAGTAGGCCAAGGTATCAGGCCCTAGATATGTGAGCATATGTGAATACATTTGTCCCAAAAGTTACACTAGCGGGAGTGATGTGGCACAGAGGACAGTAGAGCAGCAAGTACCAAGAATCCATTCCTTCACCAAAGCAGCTGCTGAACAGAGAGCTGCTGCCAGGAGCAACTATTTGTGGAACTCTGGAGATGAACTGAAACTTTTTTTTTTAAGATTTATTTGTTTGACTGGAAAGGCAGATGTACAGAGAGGAGAGCCAGAGAGGAAGAGCTTCCATCCGATGGTTCACTCCCCAAGTGGCCGCAATGACTGGAGCTGAACCAATCTGAAGCCAAGGAGCCAGGAACTTCTTTCTGAGTCTCCCACGCAGGTGCAGGGTCCCAAGGCTTTGGGCCGTCCTCGACTGCTTTCCCAGACCACAAGCAGGGAGCTGGATGGGAAGTGGAGCTTCTGGGATTAGAACCGGCACCCATATGGGATCGTGGCGTGTTCAAGGCGAGGACCTTAACACTATGCTATGGCGCTGGGCCCTAACTGGCCACTTGTAACATTCACAGGAGACTTGATGAAGGGGCTGATACATTTTGGTGAATTTCTGTGTTTAATGTGGTAATATCCCTCTCCCTAGAGCTGCAACGGACAGCTGCACTGACTAAGGCCCAGGCTTCTGGTGTTGCCTTTTGAGGTCCTGGGTGCTTAAATGAAAACCAGGGTCTTGTGTTTAGATTGCTGGTCACTGGGGAGGCGACACAGGGGCTGGCAGTATTTCAGCCCCTCTGTGGTGAGGGAACTGCCTGTCACCAGGATAGACACGGACCCTTTTCTCTGCTACCCTCCTGCCCACCTTTTCGGTAACGTTTCAGGAAGTCCTAGGTGACAGGCTGACCACAGAGACGAGGCTAGACACTCCAGGGACTGCACATCACGAGGAATGTGTACTTTGCACAGGGAGTTTTGGAAAGTCACAAGTGGATGACATGGTCAGCAAGGCCTGAGAAAATTAGGTTTCCAGATACCACATCCTAATACTCAGAACGTTGAGTTTTCAGCAAAGAATTATAATTGAAACAGGAAACTTTGTCCTTTTCACAGGAAGAAAAGAATTTCACAGACATCATCCTTGAGGAAGTTCAGGCATTAGCAATATTGTTCAAAGACATTAATTCACTGATGAAGTATATTCAGTAAGCCAAAGAAAACCATGAACAAAGGACTGAAAGGAAATCAGGGAAGCTATGTATAAACAAAATGAGAATGTTAATATAAACGTGGAAATTATATAAAGGGGGATTTGTGCAGTGCTTAAGACACTGCTTGGAAGGCCCACATCCTGTATCAACATTAGCTTTCAGTATCTCTGCTTCTGATCCAGCTTCCGACGGATGGCACCTTACAAGGTGCGTGTGACGTGCTTAGACCCCCACAGCTTGTCCAGGAGACCTGGGTTGCGTGATGGGCTCCTGACGTCAGTCTGACCTTGCCCTGAGTCTCTTTTTAAAATTTTTTTTAAAGATTTATTTTTATTTTTTTTTTATTGGAAAGGCAGATATACAGAGAGGAGAGACAGAGAGGAAGATCTTCTGTACGATGATTCACTCCTCAAGTGAGCGCAACGGCCGATACTATGCCGATCTGAAGCCAGGAGCCTTTTCCGGGTCTCCCACGCAGGTGCAGGGTCCCAAAGCTTTGGGCTACCGTCGACTGCTTTCCCGGGCCACAGGCAGGGAGCTGGAAGGGAACCGGCGCCCATATGGGATCCCGGGTGTGCAAGGCGAGGACCTTAACCACTACGCCACCGCGCCGGGCTGCAGCCCTGAGTCTTGTGAGCATTTCAGGAGAGAACCAGCAGAGGGAAGATCTCTCTTTGTCTCCGACTCTATGCCTTTTGAATAAAATGAAACCAAATTTAGTTAAAAGAACCAAATTATAGAGCTGAAAATTATAATCATTGGAATAAAAAAATCTAAGACGGAATCAATGAATTTGAAGACAGTAGAAATTTCCAAAGTAGAAAAAAAAAAAGGAAAAGCAGTAGAGTCTGAGGGGCCCATTTCACACCATCAGACATACTCACGTATGATTCTAAGACTCTAAGGAGAGCAGGTGTTTGGCTTCGCAGTTTCAGCAGTGCTGCTTGGGAAACCTACATCCCCTGTTACAGTGCCCGGATCTGAGTCCGGGTCCTGCTACTAGTCCATAACCTCTACAGCAGCCACTAGCCCCTGTCCTCTCTGTGGGATACTCGGAGGGGGTTCCAGTTCCCCGCTGGCTCCTGGCCCATCCCTGGTTATTACAAGCATTTGGGGAAGAAATGAGAGATATGGAAGATTTCTTCCTACCTGTCTGCCTCTTAAATGAATGTAAGTAGATATATTTAAAACTATTTTTTTGCAAATTTCATAAAAGAGCAAGGGTCCATGGGATGCTGCTCAGCCAGAAAAAGAGTGAGAGCATACCATTTGCAACTAGATGGTCCCAAAGAGACCATTGTAATAAGCTCAGGGAAATAAGTCAATCCCCAAAGGACAAATACCACGTGTTCTCTCTGATATAAGGCAGCGTTCATGCAAATTGTAAGATCAGTGACCCTTTCCATACTGTTTTTGCTGCAACCCAGGTGTTTTTATATTTTTATCATTTCTTCCAAATAGTTTCTTTTCTCTTAACAAATTCTTCAGTGACTAACAGATAACACAGGAATGTAGTTTTGCCCAAGAAGCCTTTGTGTGTGTGCTTTTCTTTTCATTTCTTCATCAATGTGTTGGTTATTCAGTAGCATGTTGTTTAACTTCATGTGTTGTACATTTTTTCTTTTAACTTCATTCCTATTGTTGAATTTGTTTCATGGCTTCTTGTTTGAGGGAAAGCATGATGACGGCATAATGGAGACGATCATAGCCAGGTGTGAAGACACAATGCAGTATGCATCTCTACTTCAAATCAAAGATGGACTGCAAATGAAACTGTTGGATATATCTTGACAATAGGATGCTGGACTTTCTGCCATTGTCTGTACCAGCAGTGTCAGGGCACAGTTAAACGACAGACTGATGGACTTGTGACTGCTTATGAAGGACTACACTATTGTAACAGCACGGGGAAAAACAGTTGGGGAGAAGGAAATCTCAGACCCTATGCAACTGCACCATAAAATTAAAAAGTAGCAATAAGATTAAAAATTAAAAAAATATTTTAGGGCCCAGAGTGGTGGCCTAGCGACTAAAGTCCTCGCCTTGAGCACACTGGAATCCCATATTGGTGCCGGTTCTAATTCTGGCAGCCCTGCTTCCCATCCAGCTCCCTGCTTGTGGCCTGGGAAAGCAGTTGAGGACGGCCCAAAGCTTTGGGACCCTGCACCCACGTGGGAGACCTGGAAGAAGTTCCTGGCTCCTAGCTTCGGATCGGCACAGCTCTGGCCGTTGCACTCACTGGGGGAGTGAATCATTGAATGGAAGCTCTTCCTCTCTGTTTCTCCTCCTCTCTGTATCTGACTTTGCGATAAAAATAAAAAAATAAATCTTTAAAAATATTTTAGAGATTTATGTTTTTTTCATTGAGAAGGCAAATTTGCAAAGAGAAGGAGATATTAGAGGAATCTTCTGTCTGCTGTTTCACTCCCCAAATGGCCACATCAGCTGGAGCTGAGCGTACGTTAAGCCAGGAGCCAGGATCCTTGAGCCTCTTCCAGTTCTCCCATGCAAGTGCAGGGTCCCTAGGCTTTGGGCCATCCTCAACTGCTTTTCCAGGCCACAAGCAGGGAGCTGAATGGGAAATGGAGCAACTGGGACTGAAACCAGTGCCCAGGTGGGATCCTGGAGCGTGCAAGGTGAGGATTTAGTTCCAGGCCTGAAAGAATTAAGATTTTTTACTTGAAAGGCAGAATTAGAGCTGGTCCCAAGGTGTAGTAGATTGAGCTTCCACCTGCTCCACTTCTGCTACAGTTCCCTGCTAATGCACCTGGAAAAGCAACAAAAGATGGCCCAAGTGCTTGGGGCCCTGTACCCGCATGGGAGACACAGACGAAGCTCCAGGCTCCTGTCTTCGGACTGGTCAGCTAAGTTGGTGTTACTCAGACTAGCGTGTTGTAAATTTAAGAAGTTAATTATAATCCCCGGCCAGAATTATGGTGCAGCATGTTAAGCTGCCACCTGCGAAGCCAGCATCTCATATGGGCACTGGTTCCAGTTCCAGATGCTCCACTCCTAATCTAGCTCCCTTAAATATGCCTGGGGAAGCAGCAGGAAATGGCCTGAGTGCTTGGGCCTTGCCACCCGTGTCACCCGTGTGGGAGATGCAGATGGGGTTCTGCCTTTGGACTGGCCCGCCCCTGCGCTTGTGGCCATTTGAGAGTGAACCAGTGGATAAAATAAGTCTCTTGATCTCTGTCTCTCCCTTTTTAAAAATCTCTTTCAGATAAATATTTAAAAATTCTCAAAGGAAAAAAAAAAAAAAAACCACACACACACACAAAAGCTCAAGAACTTGAATTCCTGTCTCCCATGTGGAAGAACCAAATGGAGTTCTTGGCTCCTGACTTCAGCCTGGGCCAGCTCTGCTGCTATGAAGTATTAAGTGATCTTATGGGCTGCAGTGAAAATACTCTAAAGAGAAATATATAACTATAAATGCAAATATTTTTAAAAAGCTCAAAATCAGTAGCTTAACTATACAATTTAAGGAACTGAGAAGTAAGAACTAAGCCCAAAACTAGCAGAAAGTTGCTTTTTAAAAGATCACAAAAGTTGGCGCACCTTTAGCTAGACTGACTAAGCAAAAGGGGAAAAAAAAACTTAAAATATTGAGATCAGAGACTGTGGCCAGCACTGGGAACACTGGTGAAGATGCTGCGCTCACTGACTGTCGTCCGCGGGGTCCTGCTGCACTGGCCCCCGGCTTTCCCCACCACCCTCCCCTCCCAAGGAAAGGAATACATTCAATTAAATCAGAAGTGAAAGTGGTGATATTACTACCATTCTTGAGTAACAATAAAGGATTATAGAAGAATGTTATCAGCAGTTATATGTCAATAAGTGGGATGATTTAGATGAAACAGGTATGTTCCTGGAAACACAGAACCAAAAATGACTCCAAAAGAAACAGAATGAGATGAAGAGCTTTCTCTTTACCCCCTTCCCTCCTTCCTTCCCTCGTTTTCCCTCTCATTTTTTTCCCTCTCTCATTCTGCCTTTCAAATAAATAATCTTAAAAAGCCACAACTAACATCAGACTCAATGTTGAAAGACTGAAAGCTTTTCTTGTAAGATCAGGCACAAAAGCAAGATGCCCACTTTTGCCACTTCTATTCAACATAGTATTGGATGTTCTAGTCAAAGCAATCAGACAATAAAAAAGAAACTTGTGAAAGCATCTGAACTGGTAATGAAGAAGTAAAATGATCCCTTCACAACTGACATGATCTTAGACGGAGAAAACTCCTGAAATCCACAAAAATATTTGTAGAGCTGATAATTTTGAAAAAAAGCTTCAGGATACAAAATCAGTTGTAATGCTGTATTTTTGCAGCAAGCTGTCTTGAAAGGGAAAACTGAAGAAAAAATTTAATTATAATAGCATTAAAAAAAAATAAATGCTTAAGGACCTAGTGTTTTGGCATAGCAAGTTAAGGCATTGCCTGTGCTGCTGGCACCTCATATTGAAGGGCCAATTCTGATTTAGCTGCCTGCCTGATGTACCTGGGAAAGCAACCAACGATGGCCTGAATCTTTGAGCCCTTGCCACGCACATGGAGTTCCAGGTTCCTCGCTTTAGCCTGGCCCAGCAGCCACTTGAGGACTGAACTAGTGGATGGAAGATCACTTCCCCTCTCTCAGGCTTAAAAATAAACATTTTAAAAATATATATGCTTGGGAACAAATTTAGCCAAGGAAGTAAAATATGTGTACAATGAAAACTCTGAAACATTGCTCAAAAAAAAAAAAAGGATCACTCCAAAACTGTTTATGGGGGAAGATCTGAAATTATTAGGATGACAACGCCACTCAGAGTTGTCGACAGATTCACTATCAGACATACCACAATCATAGTGGTATTTCTGCAGGAATAGAGAAAATCATTCCCAAAATTCCTGGGAACCCCCAAGTAGCTGAAACAAATTAAGAAAAATATACAAAGTTGGAGGATTCCCACTAACTTCCTGACTTCCAAATTTACTACAAAGTTATGATAATCAAAACAATGTGGCCCTGGAGGAGGAAGGACATTTAGACCAATGAAAAGGAATTCGGAGCAACCAGATGCTCGCTTTGATGGTCAGTTGATTTTCAACATGAGAGCAAAGACTCTTCAGTGGGGGAACTTCAGACAACCTTCTCAACAGAAGTGCTTATAAAACTGGATCTGCCCATGCAAAAGAATGAAGATAGTCCCTCTTACCAGATACCAGAGTTACTCAGAGTGGATCAAAGTTCTAGGAAAAAAAGGGATAAGACTACAAAATATTTAGAAGAAAACACAGAGGAAAACTTCCCAGACCTTGGGCTAGGCGATTGTTTCTTAAATATGATAATAAAAATGCTGGCAACAAAAGCACAAAATAGTTAACACTACATGAAAAATTAAAATCATGGAGTAGATATGGCACAGCACATTAAGCCACCACATGGGATATCCACACCCCAAATCAGAGAGCTGCTTCAGGTCTTTGGACTGCTGGACTTCAGATCCACCTCCCTACTAACACACCTTGGAACAGGAGATGGCGACCCACGTACTGGAGTTCTGCCACAGAACAGACTGCTCTAGTCAGCCTGCTTGACTACAGGGCTGAAAGACATCAGTAAAAAATGAGACCGGGCTGCTGTTCTATCAGAACAGTGTGCTGGTGAGCCAGGCAACAGTGGGCAGGATGGAGCTTCCAGGACAGGATTCGCGAGGTGGTGGCCATGGCCCAATGGGCTGAGGGGAGCCAGGGCTAGCCACCCTGGAGAGGCCGCACAGCTGCTCCAGCTGCTAGGCTGGGGTTGGCACTAGTCCCCGAGGGCATCTGCAGGGCTTGCCAGCTTCAGCCAGCATCCTGTGCTTAACCCACAAGCTCTACTCTGCATTTCTCTAGCTGGAGAGAGGGGGACTGGCTGACAGAAAGGTACTGCACGTGGAACTGAGGTCTCCAGAGGCAGCAATGCCACCAGCCTGCTGAGCACTCGGTTCCTGTGGGCGTGATGTGTGTGGAGCTGCTGTGGGTGACACACTTGTGCTCTCTCCTCAGAAACAGACTGACTGATTGGAGCACTGTGAAAGACTGGCCAGTCTGGATGCTGCCTGCCACAAGGAAGGGCCAGACCCGACTCTCTGCTGCCACACGCTGTTCCAGAGAGCCTCTGAAGGCCTTGCAGACAGCCCAGAGCCCGCCGCCACCGCCCTGCCCTGCCCACCACCGAGCCAGTGGAGGAAATGGGGTTCTCGACAGCTCTTTCTCCCATAATGTAGGACCTTCCCTTTGCCTTCCAGTGGATAAAATCATTTAGATTTTATATGCATAGAATCAAGTTTTTAACATACACATCCGCTTATATATAGTTAATAAAACGTCGGATTACAAATACTGTCATTACATAGCAGCTTTGGTTAGCAAAGCAGTCCGTTACCTGTGCCCGTTCTCTGGGACGTGTGGGGCTGTGGCTGCCCCTCACCGGTCCCCACCGAGCAGGGGCCAGAGTGCCCTGGTGCCACCTTTGCGTTCCCCAGGGAAGCAAGAACTCTGAGGTGATCTCTGCCATATTAGCACCAACCAGCCTGGGGCAGCCAGACCTGCTAGATCCACCAGGGCAGGACCCACTACCACCTTTAGTTCTAGAGCTGGCCTGGCTCTGGGATCAGTGCTGGATGCTTCTCTTCTCGTCAGCTGTTTCCACAGTCCTGCCATTTTCCAGCTTCGTCATGGACTATAGCTTCCCACTTGTCAACTTAAGCATCTGTTGTTCAGCCGACCCAGCCACGTTTAGAGAGGAAAGTGAAGGAAGGGGTTGGGTTGGCCTGTAGCTCTGGCCCTGAGGTCCTTAGGGCCCTTCTGCAACCCAGGGTAGAGCGCACTGGCCCCGTAGCAGAAGTGCAAGCTGAAAGAATTTGGAGACTTTCTGGAACTAGTGGAGCTGGGCTGATTTTCTGCACAAAGACCTGCATAAGGGATCCTGAATGGACAACCCAAAATGCCCTGCCACCCAAGGGTGTGGCAGGCTCCTAGCTGACCCCCACTGGGTGGTGGACACCACTGGAGAGTTCCGTGTAAAGTGTCTTATATATCTCCCAAATTGCAAACAAGTTTTTTCACTGTAGCCTAACTTTCCTACCCTTTTTGTGAATGCAGAAAAATCAGAAAAGGTGCCTTCGAGATATTGAACTTGCCTACGGAGGAGTACTACGTGGCAAGCTTCCATTTCTTCAAGACTGGCTGCTCTGACAGCATCAGGTAGAAGGTCTGCCTCAGCTCTGTCCCCTGCAGCCTCAGTCATCTCTTAGCGACACCCAGCAGAGACAGCAGGGCCTTGGGAACACACCCACCAGCAGCATTGTCCAATTTCCCAGCCCACCCAGGGTACCTACAGGGGCAGCATCTTTGCCTCCCTGGAAGGAGTTTCCCATGGAAACCATTGCTCTTCTAAAATACTCTCCTGCCCTCCCTGTTCCAACAAGGCACATGTGTCCCAAACAGGGGGACTTGTGGGTATCTGGGATATTCCAGCTTAGTTTTGTGCCCTTCCCATCTGGGGTCTAAAGACTGTTGCTTTCAAAAGCCTTTGAGGGATTACCTTCCGTTAGGGAACAGACATGTGAAACTTTCCCTTTTGTATTCATATACATGCAGCTTGATTTATATACATGCACACAGGCAAGACTTTCTCATTAACGTCCACCTGCTGTGTGTGATCAAGGAACTTCATGGCATGTGGGTGTTGAAGGAAACGTACTGGAAGGATGTGGATGCACAGGGCAGCCAGGGTGACCCCATATGAAGCCATCTAAGCATCTGAGAAACCACCCAGCGCTTTACCTCCAGAGCCCTGCATGTACTGGTGGAAGGGCTGCGTGTCTACAAGGATTTTCTTGGTTATTTTGTTAGTACTGACATTTACAACTCCAGCAAAGGTTGCATGATGGAGAAGGCCATGGAGGATACACAGAGCAACTTGCAGATCATCTTTAGCTGAAAGGGTTCTTGTGCTGCCTGTCCTGGCCCCTTTTTCTTGCAGGTGTTGGCTCTGCCCAGTAGCCACAGCCACAGAGGCAGGAGCACCCAGTAAGGAGTCCGTAGGCTGCACAGGCCCTCCTCCCTGTGCTTCTGGAAGGGGTGACCAAGTATGGTTTGAATCTTATTCTTGAAAGAGCATGATCAGGGAGACACTACCAAGCAGGTACTTAAGCAGATGTGGCAGTGGGTGCCCAGGGCTTGGGCAGGAAGCCCTGCATGTGGCCAGCTAGACAGATACAGACACATATCCCTGCCTTCCCCCACCCTGAGCTAACTGCACTGACTGGTGGAATCATGGATGGCCGCAGCCAGGCCTGTGAGCCCACCACAGCACAGACTGCTGTGATTTTGCACACTGCTAAGGGGCTGAATTCTGTTATGGTCTTCAGAAGAGGTGTGGTCTGCAGGCTCCAGAGTTGAGAGGTGGAGTGCGGTTACTCTCAAGAAGAAAAAGCACTTTCTGAGGTGACTAATGAGTCTCTTCTGTGCACTTGGACTCATCAGAGGCAGTACAATCATCTTGTAATGCTTCTTGTCTCAATGTCTTGTAGCTGTTTTATATTATGCTTTTTTTTTTTTACATGGGGTTGTAGATCTAGTTTTAATAGGTGAAACCAGATCACCATTCTGATCAAGGAACTTTGAATTTATGATACATATACTTTGCATATTTTGAGTACTTGTTTTAATTTTTGACAGTAGTAGAACTTTTATTTTGGGAGGAGAGAGGAGTATCATTTGGGGGAGTTGGGTTCCTGAATAAGAATGCTTTGGCCTGTGGTGTGCCAGCACTCTGGGTGTAGTAGTGACTGTATGTTGAGCTCCTTTTTCTTGGCCAAGTTGATGGGTGGCTATTCTGGTGGACCAAAGCGCCACAACTCAAGGACCCTGCACCCTGCCAGAAAAGATGGGAGCTGGACAGAGTTAAGTGGCACCCTGTGAGCTTGTACTACTGGCTTCATCCCCAGCTGGCTTTGGGAGGCTGTCCCTCTAGGAAGTTTCTGTTTTCTAGGCTGATATGCAGCTCCTGTAAGCTTTGCCCTGCTTGGCACCCAGTGGCAGGTCCTGTGTCCCCTCCCTTCTGCTCTGGGACATCTGTGCTATGACTGCCTTGTGTGGAGCGTGGGCGTTGGCATGTCTATGCACCTTCTGTCCTGCCGCTCCTTGCCTCTGCTCTCCCTGTCGTAGATCCTGCTGCCTCTTACTTGTCTTTCCTTGGACCAAAACCCTCAGATTGGAGGTTTGTCAGCTGAGACATCACAGCTCACTTGGGAAAAGGCATTTGCAGGAGAGAACTGGCAAAGAAAATCTTTAGGCAAAACCAAACATGGAGTTTGAGATCTTCCTAAAGCCATCACTGCCTTCCTTTGCTTGCTCAGTTTATCTGGAGGAGTTGAACACATCTCTTGTTATTTACACGTATCAATCATTTTCAAAGCCGGAGAACCTGCTAGACACATGAAGATCTACACAGTCACCTGTTCAAGGCCAAAGGCTTGCCAGAGCTTGTTCTCCTCTTTCCAGACACGGAGCTTCTCTTCAGGGTCTCCTGACTCCCTCCTCTCCCTTTGCACATAAGCACGGGCCTTCCCTAGTCCTCCTGCCCTTTCCCAGAAAAGTTCCAGCACTTGAACAAGCAGGAAGTTGTGGGCTCAGGTCTCTCCTGAACGCAGGTGCCCATCTGAACCTGGGATCAAGCTGAGGTGCTCACTGTGTGATTCACTCTGGTCACTTAATATGGGGGAGAAAGACTGAGCCAGGCAGCAGCAGGGCTGTACAGGCTATGGGCCACCTCAGCGTCGACTTTGGCTGTGATCAGGTAGAAGTGGAGACCAAGAGGTCTCCTTGGTTTCCTACGTAGCCGAGTTCTCAGTCCCAATGGAACAGACAGGTCTAGGAAGTCCTTGCTGCTGGAGTCTGTGTGCTCCCAATGGCAACTCAGCCTGGAAAGGTTGTGATGGGGAAACCCGTCCGCATTCTCTGACTGGCCATCTAGCTGTTGTGAAGTGAAAGGGGCAGACCCCAAGTGTGCAGCTCTAACACACCTGAGATCCTGCGACTGGCTTAGCAGTCCTGAGCTCACTTTTCAAGGCAAGCCAGCTGGCCTGGCCACAGATCTGGGGCCTAGTTCCCCACTATATCAGAGGCAGGACAGAGCACTTAGTCCTGGCTCCTGCAGGGATGTGCCTGTAGTCTGGAGCAGGGGAGGACCCTCTGGAGCCTAGGGGCAACACTAGGCAGGATCTGCTTACGTTGACAAGGTCACAAGCAAGCACCCACTTCACTCGTCTCAGTTGGCAGGAGTGCAAGGAGTTACTCGAGTGGATGCACAGCCACTGGCTTGTTGGAACTATCAGCACCTGGCTCCAGTAGTGGCCGGGTAATGTTCTGGAGGGGATACCTGGTGCTCTCCTTCTGTTATCCTGTGGGCAAATGGGGGGCCAGGGAGTGTGGAAGGGACTGCAAGTTCACCTGCTGTTATGCCTCTTTCAGAAGACTGGCCCAGGGCACAGGTGGTGGTGATGTGTATGCACGTGGGAGCAATGGCATATGTGGGTTTCGTGGTTATTACTGTCTTGTTTGTTTACACAGGGACAATTAAGAATTACTCATTGTGACTGGAGTGGAAGATTGAATTATCTAGGACACAGGTTTTCGGTCACTGAATCTGGGAGCTCCTAGTGCTTAGTCTTTCCTGGGAGTGAATCCCAGAGTAGAATCACTGTGAGTTAAAATCCACCACGTGGTACCCATTAGTCTTGTGACTTGTGCTTCTCATTCATGCCTGATGTGCGGCCACCCTGCTGTCCCGTTGCCTGCTTGGCATGGGGTCGGGTCTTGATGTCACTCTCCCATGGCAGGGACCTGGCACAACCATGCATCTGCTCCTCACAAAACCAGGTGAGGGCAGAAGTGGTCACACCCCTGAGCAGCCACTGTACTCATGTACGGCAGGGAGGTCAGACTGTGGCCGTAATTAGTAAAGGATCGTACCACGTGTCCCCTTTGCTGACCACTGGTCATTGCGTTTCACAGAGCATGGCCTGTCTGGCAGTCAGGGAGGTTGCAAAGGCTTGCAGAATCCCTCCCTACAGAGTCCCGATCCCTGTGCTCTAGCCCCTACTGCATTCTGGTCTACACAAATGCATTTGTTCCCCGTGGGCAGACTGCGGATAGGTCGGTCTCACCTCCCACGGGTTGCTGAAGACGTGATCATCTTGGTGCTAAGTGAAAAGCAAATTGAAACTTTAACTGACAGTGCGAGGGCCCCATCCCCTGCTGTGGCCAAGCCTGAGACCAAACCAAGCAAATGGCACACTCCTAACATTTAGATTGGTGGAGGAGGGGATTCTGGCCACGGGGTCAGTGTTTAACAGGAAGGATGCAGTGTGCCTTTGGTTCGGACTCTGGCTGTGTCGAGTGGGGTTGCCCTCCTTGGGCTCAGTCCCCAGGCTCACAAGGTCCCCTGTGGGGATGCTGCTATTTCTAAGATGCAAATTGCACATTTCCTAGATTTTGTATCTGTGGATTTGGATGAGGGAGGGAACAGGGACAAATTGCTTGTATAGTTTATGATGGGCCTCAATGGTACTTCAAATCTTTTTGACTGTTCCTGAATAAAAATGTAGATAATTTTATATCTGCTGCCTTATTCTGTGTGGGAGTTACGGGAAACAAGCTAAAACGTTCTGACTTGCTATGCAGGCGAAACTGACCTTAAACTGATGGACAAGTGTGCCAGTTCCCCTCCGCTCACTTCATCGAAGTTCCAGTTCACTGCTTCTATTGCTCAAGTTTTTGTCATGATTTCTCTATGAACTTTTGTTTCAGAAACTCTGCTAAGAAAGGCAGGCTGGAGTCCCAAGAGAGCTCCTGAGATGTAGGTAAGGTGGTTTTCCCTTTGAGAGAAGTGCCGACTACCACCGAGGCCTCCTAAAGGAAGGTGACTGAAACAAGCTTTGTTGGGGTGGTCCCAAGGGCGTGCAGGAGAGCCAAGGAGGTGGCCCCGAGATAAACACCTGGGCAGACTCTGCTCTGCTCCTCACTGGCCAGCCAGTCTTGGGGAAGCAGCTATGTGTTGAGGCTGACCAGCCAGGTCCTTAGGAGCCACAGCTGACTGTTGTGACCCCCTTCACCCCACTGCTGAACTCCACATGGGGCAGGCCCCCGAAGAAGTCGATGTGGCCTCAAGACAGGGAGCGGCATGCCCACACGGACAAGTCCACGGAGCCTGATCCACAAGGGTGAGGTAGACATGCCTTCATTTGCTCACCAAGCTAGTCTGGTGGTATAACATGATGGTA